ACAAGCAATCTTGATATGGACAATCATTAAGGAGCAATCTTATGCTAACAAAACTTTGGTAGCATTAAGATAATTTTGGTAGCATATGAAATCATTAAGGATCACTTAAAGGCAATTGACAAAACTACTTTCAACATCACTCATCGTTTTAGACTATAGTGCTCTTTAAGAGTGCTATCATCTGCAACTTAGTGAGAGTACAAGGTAAGATTTCTTTAATTTAGATTGACATTTACATTCTGGTTATTCTTACAATATTGGAACATGGTTTTGGCATACATTATTGACAATTATTTGGATGACAGCGAACCTGTTTTTTGGCCTTCTCAGAGGTCAATTTTTGGCCAAAAACTTTTGCTATCAGGCAACCAAGTATAAAGTTGACCAAGGAAGCTCTCTGTGTATCTGACACACCATGGTAACATAAAAAGGAGCAAACATTTATAGACCTCAAGAACAAAAAATTCATAATTTTCAGTCAGTGCAAGGACAAAACCTTGGGAATGAAAAAAATTGAGACTATTGTATTTAATAAAATATTGCAGTTGAATGAACCATCAACACAAATTAAAAAGATATGAAATGGATCGAATACAAGAGCTGCAATTTCTGACATCCAATACGTGTAATGTGTTTTTCTAATGTCTTAAATAAATTAGATAAAATGTCTGATCTAGGATGAAAATAGTTAAACTATTTTATTCTCATTTTAAAACCATCATGTTGCTGTATCTCAAAACTACGTTGTCCTGTATCAACATCATTTATATTAAGCCAAGATCAAAAGATTTAGGTTTATTAGATAGAATGTACCAATTTGTACTGGTTTCTCCACTGAGTTTTGAGTTGAAGAAATGAACTGACCACTTGGAAAGTAATGATGTGTGCTCATGTCTCCTACTTGACGTTGGCCACTCCCACATATGATCAGAAAGTGATTGATTTGGGTGACACCTGAAGTGCTAGCCAACCTGATCAGAAGGGCAATAATAGCTTTTTAAAGTACACAGAAAGAGATTGTTACCTAATTAAAGTAGATGACAACAAGTTTGCTGGGGTAATAAAAAAAAAGACACATGGTTTCCTGAATCTATATACTTCCCTTCACATTTAGGGGCCTATAAAAAGACCAGGAACTCATTCATATGGATCCATCTAAAACTCAACATACCAGAGGTATGGAGCAAAGAGAAGTCATTTATATTCTAGCATTTCTTCTGGCTGTGTCTGCAGGCAATGCAATGGGAAGAAGACTCGAAAAGAGTAGCAGGCATGTTGCTGAAGATACGAGCCAGACTGCCTTTGCTGACAAGCATCTGCAAATAGCCTCTGGCACCATCGATGTTACCAGAAAACATGATGATGAGATGCAAGGTCTACTTCCAATTCAGCGACAGGTTCCATCAGGTCCAAATCCGCAGAACCCTCCATACGATCGTGTAGTTGGACAGATCCAGCACCTTGATACTATAGAAAAGAATCTGTCCGAGCCTACACCACCACCCGAGAGGCTGAGCTAAAGCAGCAAGACAGCTACTAGTTCCTTCTTCCTTCACTGTAACTATCGTGTGCATCATGTCTCATATTTCAGTTGTTGCCTAATCCTGTTACTTGTGGCTACTCATTCATGTCAATATCAATAAATGCAGAAGCTATTGTGTGCCATCTCTATCATATTTAGGACCTTTTCTCCTTTTATTTATTTTTGGCTAATCCTACAATCTGTTCATCAGAAGAAAGTAGCCAAGGAATTGTTGATGCTAAGAGGAATTCGTGATTAACATAATTCCTAACAGCATATAAAGCACAGGTAACAGTTTATAATTCTCAAAGGCAAGGTAACAAAAATTAGCAGATTGAAGGTTTTC